TTACGGTAAATAGCTGATACCGTAAGGAAGTTTTTATGATACTTACGAATAGTAAGAACATGTTTTTTCAATTTTTTATAAACGTTCAAAGTTGTTGCACTTTTTTACTTTTTTGTTATGTTCGAAGATTTTGAAAAAAATTAAAAAGTAGTATTAGTTACATGACTTGAATGATTATATGATAGTCAAGCCTTAGGTCTTAGCTACATAATCGTGAAAAAAGCAGGCATTTATCACAATTATTAACGAAGTTATGGTAAAAATAAACACAGAACTCAAAAATTCTCGAAAAATCCGAAAAAAAATCATAACTCCTAAACTAAACAAAATCGGACCATATATATGGGGGTGATTTGGGTTCCTCTCGATGTGGGGAATCTAATTTTTTTTTTATGACGTCACGTGTTTGGCCACCCTGTATATATATATATATATATATATGGGTATAGTCGGCATAATGATGTGACAGAGAAAACTTAACAAACTCATGAAAGTCCCTTATGTATAAGCTGAAAAGGAGTGGACCCAAGGCCGAACCTTGTGGAACACCGAAAACCTTATTCAACGAGGAAGAGGAATTATCATCTACAACTGCAGTCTGAGTGCAATTTTTTAAGTAGCTCTCAAGAGTTGCTCTAATGATATCATCCGTAATCTTCAGGACGAAACCCTGACTAAAAGCTAGTAATAATATTATTTTGAATAGCATAGGTAAGCATTTGGTATTTCATGAGTTTTGATATGGTAGGCAGAATACTAATCGGTCTTAGGACAGAGAGCACATCAGGTGAGTCACATTTAGGTATTGGCATCACCAGAGCATGCTTCCATGCAAGAGGAAATGTTCCAGATGTGATTGAGAAATTTGAAATAAACGTGATATACTCTATCAAATCAGAGGACACTAATAGTAACATACGTAACGAAATATCATCCGAGCCTACAGCATTGCTTTAATTTTATTAAGAAATTTTAACACAGCGTGGGAATTGACTGTTGTGAATCTAAAAGAATCTTCATTAACTTGCATTGGGTATCGTATTTTCTGAGCATATCAGTTTGAAGTTGACTTCTAGCCAAACTTGGGGCGCTATTAAGATATGCGTTCGCAGTGTTGCTATTCTTTAACTTGAGTGGTAGTTTAGATAACTTTTTTCGCGCAGAATCTCCAAAGATCTAAGTGAGTTCCATGTTGACTTTTGATTTCTTTTAGTGAGGATATTAATACATTTATATTTTTTAAAAGCTTTATCTCTAAGTGACATCACTATTTTTAAATTGTATGTACGCCAAGGAGCAGGCGGCTAACCCTCACTTGACGATAAGGTGGGTGGGCGATTAAAGAGAGTTTTAAAGACTTACTTCAAGATGATCCACCATAGAGTCTACATCTGATACTGTGTAGATCAATCTCTAATTAACAGAATGTAGATCGTTATAAAATAAATCTGCGTCAAACTTTGAATAACCGCGGTATCTTAAAAACTTCTATATCTGCTGGCTTTAGGAAAATTAATTTTAAAAGTCAAAACACAATGGTCAGGTCAAGTCTATCGACAAAAGTAAAGTCATCCGGATCACCTACTATGAGCAAATCTATCAATGTACTCGCAGATTTTGTTATTCTAGTACGAGATTCAACAAGCTCTGTCAAATTATATGCATCAAGGAAATCATACAACAGCTTGGTTTTACGATCTAGATTTAAAATATTATATTTAGATCACCAGTTATAGAGAACAAATCACTATCTGGTAGAAAAAGATTCACAGCTGACTCCAATTCGCGAAGCATGTCCACAACATTAGCAGAAGGGGACCGATAGACAACACTAAATATGAATGTTTTGCGATTAAGTTCCAGTGAGATCAGAGCTGTTCCAAGGCAGGAGTGATATTAATATGGATAATTTGACTCTGGAAAACATTTTTTTGTATATACCGCAACGCCCTCACCTCCACCAATTCGATCTTCACGTAAAAGTGTGTAACCATCAATGTCAATCAATTTAGGGTCAATCTGATCATGTAACCAAGTCTCACTCAAAGCTATGAAATCGTGTCATTATCATCAACTTAGTTACGCAGCATCCCTATATTTGAAACCAGAGATCTAATATTGAGGTGAACCACATTCAACAACGATGGCATTTTCCAAGTTACAAACAAACAATGATACGTAAACAATAACAGGAAGCAAAGATACATTAAAAAGATTTTATATAGTATATAGGTGTACTAGCTAAAGATAAAAAATGGGGTATATTATGTACTATGATGGAAACACCAGGAAAATAAACTCTAGAGTAAATATTTAGTCTAGTAAGCAAGAAGTAGAAATTCTATAACTATAAAATTCCAACACGTTAAGATATTATGATGAAAAATCGAGAATACGAATTACGAAATACAGTAACCTCGGTTTATTTACTTTAAAACATCCACCTATAAAAATATTGACAAGAGCTGATTGCAGTGACATTAATGAAAAACTGTTCATTGATTTCTCGATCTTTTAGAAGGCGGGGTTCTCCCTGCAGACATTCGTCATAAAATTTTTGACAAAAGAGCAGCAATTAAGCAAGCGAAGAGGTCTTGTCACCCAGATGACATTCACAGAGCAACTACTCTTGTTCATGAAGTGAGAAATGCTCTTCATGAATTCCGTAATGTACAATGGAGCGACATTCTGTCGGGGTTGCTTGATTCAAGTATTCCTCTCTGGAAAGTTGCAAGGTCGTTCAGAAATGGAAACTCCCGCACATCCACGGTCCTAGGGGCATAGTCTGTAGGACAGAGGAAAATCTCGGTTTCGCTGATGCAATGGAAAGTCAGTTCTCTCCCAACTATTTCCTTGATAATGACCTCGACGAGGAGCAACATATTGTAAGATCTGTCAGGAGATATTTTAGGGCCAACGGCGTCAGTAGCAGTAGTGCCTCCTTAGTGATTTTTCCTCAGAGGAATCTTCAGAAGATTCCTCAACTGAAGAGCTGCATGGCATCAGCGGAATGTCCTGAGACTCCGCATTGCACACCAGCAGAGCTCCAAGGCCATATTAAATACCTCAAGGTGCGTAAAGCACCTGGAGAGGATCGATTAACAGATAAGGCGCTCAAGCTACTTCCGCGGAAGTCCTTAACTTATCTCCTGGCAATATCAATGCCATGCTAAGGACTCAGCACTTCCCAACGGTGTGGAAGACCGCTGATGTCATAATGATTACAAAGAAGGCAGGTTCGATATTCCCCCGGGATTACCGCGCCATTAGTCTACTATCAGCTCCTTCCAAGCTAGCTGAAAAGGTGATTCTACGTCACCTTGAAAATTTCTCGGCAGACCGCAATGTGATTCCTGACGTGCGATTTGGCTTTCGGTTTGAGCATCGTACGGAGCTACAGGCCATAAGGCTTGTTGAACGAGTAACCAGGAAATTCACCCGTAACGAAAGTACTGGCATCTTGATTCTGGATGTCTCAAAGGCATTTGACAAGGTGTGGAACAAGGGCCTTCTCTACAAATTGATCTATAAGGGCTTCCCCTTCTGGCTCCTAAAACCTTTGAAATCCTTCCTCGAGAGTAGGAAATTTCGGATCAAAATTAATAACGTTCTGTCGACAACACGGCCCATCAAAGCCGGTGTCCCTCAGGGTTCGGTTCTTGGACCAATCCTTTATTCACTTTTTATTCTTGACGTCCCTTGCCCCAGCAACTGTGAAATCTATCTCTGCCCAAGGTCTTGATGGTTTCATGCAGATATGCTTGTTAAAAAGCGCAGTGTAAGATCTTACTATTTAGTTCGACCTTGTTCCCTCAATTCCGAAAGAATGATGTAGACATAGAAATATAACAAGTTTTGCAAATATTTTATTAATTATGTAACTTTGATTCTGACATCATATCTAGTCGATGAATAATTGGCGGGATGCGGATACATTTACAAATATCGATGTTTTAGGACACAGGAATGCAGAATGTGCGGTTTGCTTACATTCGGCGTGAATTTCTAGATCGTAAATTGGCAATAAATTGCTTTTGCTGTAGCGAAAGATAATGAACTGGTTAGTTGGAATACGTTTTATATCCTTTTTTTGGAAAATTAAAAAAAAACGGTACATTTCTACAGATACGTAGTATGTACAACACCCTGTATGCGATTTTGAGTCAAAACTAGATTGCCATGCATGGACAGTCGTCAAAAACAGTGAAAACGTTCTATTAAATCTAATAGCTGGAAGATCGACTTATTATTTCTTGAATTGTCATAGGTCCATTCAAATAAGTTTCCTATCTTTTATGAAGGATAGAAATGGGCTATGAAAGTTGCCCTAATTCTAAAACTTAAAGACATAATATTACATCTATATTGTACCATTACTCATACAAGCCCGATTTTGTTCAATATTTCAATAGAAATTACTGATGTAAGGAGATATTTGAAAGCTTCCGTCAAGTTGCATTACGATATGCTGCTCCTTTATTGGTCAAAGCCTCCGTCAAACTTAAATCTTGGTGAATTCGGCTCATAGTATAACTTTTGTCGAATTTACTTTTTGCAATCGATGCGAAGTGAGCGTTGGTCAAGATTTGTTACTCGTTTATTTGTTTGGGAGCGAAAATGTATATTTAAAGACGAGCATAATGTACAAGAAAGTCAATTTATTGCTTGCTAATTACACAAATTAGAAAACATACTATATAATTTTAACAGAGACATTACAAGTACAATCAGATTATAAACTAATGAGACTCCCAGTGACACCTTCGTTACCTGAATATTGGTTGATCCGAGCAACAGAATAGGTACTTATTTTTCTGTTCCAAAAATTGATTTGGCTGTTCTGTACTTGTTGAGATAGGATGAGTGTTGCGGCAAGGCTGACACGATGGATTATTCTCCACAGTTTGTTGCACAGGATAGTAATTATGATTCTGTGGCAAGTATTGATAATAATTCGTATCTACTTGGAGACGTTGATAAGAACTAAACTGGTTTACCGGTCAGGTTAGTGGAATGCGCGTTTCATGACCAACCAAATGGTGATTAGGTCTTACCGATAGGATTCCTGATGTGGTACTTGGACTAGCAGCGGATGAAGCGAATGTCCGAGTAGGAGATGACACTCTTTGTTTCTGTTCCTTTTTATACTTCATTCTCCGGTTTTGGAACCAGATTTTGATTTGACGTTCCGTTAGACTTAATTCTTGTGCCATTAAGATGCGTAGGCGTCGGCACAAATACTTTTCAGTCTGGAGTTGTTTCTCCATTTGTACAAGTTGGTGTGCGGTATAAGCGGTTCTGGTTCGCTGCGACTTGGAGATTCCGCTTGAATTTGACTGTGGTTTGCTCGAACCTGATGGTGAACTATTTTCTGTACCTGGAATGAATCAAAATGACATTTAGTTTGGCTACCCATCAATGATCATCAGTTTTGTATTCGAGAGAATATTGAAGGAATCAAACTTTAATGGCAAATAAATGTTAATTCATTTGGAACAATGTGCTCTTTGGCACTTTGGAATGACTGTACCATGAAAATTCTAGCCACTTGCAGCCAGTTTGTTCACGTAATCTAAGCAACCAATTTACTGAATGCTCGGTGGAGCATTGCGTTGCGACGTCGTAGAAAAGCTGTCGCTCGGTAACTTTTTTAGAAACGATTAATAAAAAATGGAAAATTAATGGAAGAAAATTGACAAAATTCATCTGTGCTATGGGTGAATCCACCCACGTGACAGCAACATGTATTTTCATTTTCAACTATCAAATTTCTTATGCAAATACGAAGCTCATGTATATTTTTGTGAATTTTGAATTTGTATATATAGTTTTCCGTGGGTTATTAATCATAATATTTAAAATAAAAGCATTTATTGCTCAACACTAGGTAAAGTGTTGACTCACCTGTCAATCTTATACGCTGGCTGTCTGTGCATCCATGGGGAATGCGGACACTAAGGAGCGGTTTCTCATCGAAAGCAACCTGGAGCTCTTCTGACGACAATGCCAAATTTGATTGCTGGCCGATTGACCCTTGTAGATCCAGATACTGGAACAAATTATAAAGTACGCCTATATTTTTTGTCCTGAAGCATGCACAAAACGATTGTATAGTTGGCCAGAAAGAGTATCCCACTGAAAATGGTGCCACGGTTCCAAAAAGTATAAAAACAAAACATCTTCATGTGAAAATACTTGTTGTAAAGGATGCTTATGAAATTTTTTTTAATTTCTTGAATATACAGGTATACCAGGGTAGCAAGCATTGGATTGACCACTTTCATTTTCTCTGTTCAGAATTTGAAATTCTATTAAGAAGATATTGTTTTGATACCAGTTGTTATTTTCAAAAGCTTTTTGACGTATATAACGGTAAGTAAAATTTAATCCACCAGTTCAAATATCCTACTTTCGCATAATGTACAGGTTCTAAGTATAAGATGCTCATATATTTGTCTAGATCTTGTGAAAGTTAAAAAGAGTAACAAAATCTTTGCAGTAAAATGACTATCGAAATAAGACAGCACAAAGTTTTCGTTTCGATTCGATACTAAAGGCGTATTACTAGTTAAAATGCAACTTTAACTTATTTTGTTTCTCTTCCTGGCAGTGGTAACAGAGTTTGAATATGACTCTGATTTTGGTTATGAATAAAACTAGAATAAACTTTCCATCTACTCACCACAAAGTTGTTTTCATAAAGGTTTCCTCCAGTTGGAAAACTGTAGTTCTCACCCACGTACTCTGCAGCAATATACGTTGGTGGTGACTGGGTCTGCAACATGTCGAAGTAAATTGCCGCACTCTCAAGGTTCTCACTGTAGTCGTACATTTGGCAAGTCGAAGACCTGCTACACTGTAATGACCTAAACTTTACTAACGACCGGTATTTATTGAAAAGTTAGATAACTCCTCCCTCGTTATCAGTACCTAGAGTGGCCAATTGAATGGTTGATGTGCCCACCCATCTTTTATTTTAGCAAGCTAAACACTAATTCCTAACAAAGCAAACTTGAATGATCTCGACAGGCTAGCGCACGATGAGGGTATTGGTACCGTACTGGTGTAATGCATGACAGAGTTGGTAAAAAAGCGATAAGTTGTGGCATGCTGGTATTTTTCAGCTGGTTTATCGTTAGCTGTCACAAAGCTCTTAAGATTGATTTAATATAGTTCACTGGCTTTTGTTGTCGATGTAACGGTGAACACCGTAATTTCATGTGTTTTGTTGGAGTACTTTTAGTACAATTCACTCATTATTGTGGACACTGGTTGCCCCAAAATTTAATGTGAGCACACAAATTTTAGGGCTAATCAGTTAAATAAAAAAATACATTTTCCAAAATAAACTTTTGTCTAGCTGTTAGTATTTATGAGGAACCGCTTTTCATATCAGCCTCGTCTTAGCATGAGTGTGTGGATCTACGCCGCTTATTTCAAGCTGGACCCTAATTGCTCCTAAGGAAACCTGGTCCCAGTTTGATCGAAAAAAAATAGTCTCACACTGCTGATAATATTCAACTCATAAAACCTTTTCATTTGATACACATATTAGAGGTGATATTGGGGAAATTATAAGTGGACATTCTGTAGCATCTGCCACATTGTATTAAACATGGAGGCATTTAATACATTCTCTATTTCTACGCGAACCAAATACGTATGTGAAATTTCAGCTGAACTATTTAGGGTTAACTGGTTCAAAATTCAGTGTTAAGATAAGTCCCTGACTTACTGGCATACCAACAAATGTACCAACAGGACGTAGACTCACTCCATTCTCAGAATTTCCGTGTGGAGGGAGGGCTTGAGGGAACAGCATCGAAGATAAAACTACCTGCAATCCAATCGTGAAGCCGTGCGTTTCTTGGCGGAGACAAAAATCTCAGAGTCTGCACCGATTAACCATCTCAACTTCCAAAACTACGAGGTGCACTCCAATCTGAGAAAGAACGGGGGAGTTGTGGCTTTTGTGCGCAGCAGTCTTTCCTGCTCCAGAGATGTTTCTTTGGAATCAGACCGGAAGGACATTCTGTGGCTTCGCCTCAACTCCAAAACATCACCCAAATTCATTTGCTGCCTTTATCGCTCTCCCTCGGACCATAACTGGGATGACCTACTCGAATACCTCGCCGTCCAGATCGACTTCCTGAACATCAATCACCCCGCTTCAGAGGTAGTTCTTCGCGGTGATTTCAATGCCCATAATGAGCGTTGGTTGGGCTCAAACAAGACCGACTGGTGACGAGCCCTACTTTTTTCTCGGGTCTCGTCACACACCAGTAGCCTGCTGGATCTCTTTCTGACCACGCACCCTGTCCCTTACAGCACTGCTATCCTGTCCCCCCTGGGTAAATCAGACCACGGTGTTGTGGAGGTTAGGTTTCGGTCAGAACGCGCTGTGGCAGCAGAAACTTTTACAGGCCGCAAAATTTGGCATTACGGACATGCCGATTGGGACGAGCTCAAGGTCTTCTTCTCTAGCTTTCCTTGGAGAAATGTCTGTTTCACTCACGCGGATGCGTCGGCTGTCTGTTCTTCGATAACAGAAATTATACACGTCGGAATGGGGGAATACATGCCTCACGTAGTGAAAGTGCCTAAACCAGGGTCCAACGGCTGGTTTAACAAATCATGTGACACTACTCTCCAGCAGAAGATCAAAGTACACAGAACTTTCTTCCAAACCCCACTGTAGAGAACAGACAAGCCGACGTCGAGTCCAGAAACGAATATAACGAAGCGGTTAGCAATGCCAAAAACCTGCACGATATCAAAGTTAGGGTCATGTCGCAGCGCAATGGCAGTCGGTTTTTCTGGATGCTGGCCAAGCAGATTGACAAGAACTTCTCACACAGTAGCCTTCCACCACGTACGTGTCAGGATAAAACTATTGTATTCGACTCAAAGGCCAAGGCGGAAGTGCTATCCAAGATCTTTGCTGCCAACTCCACCATGGATGTCCCTCCCAACGCCCAAGTGCCGCCAATTCAAAGCGTTCCCTACACTATGCGGGAGGTAACATTCAGGCTTAAGACCATAAGACTAGTGCTCTTGTCGCTCGACATCTACAAAGCTTCTGGTCCGGACTTGATTCCTGCCATTGCACTGAAGAGGTATGCAGCGGAGCTTGCTCCAATTCTTTCGCGTCTCTTCCAGATATCTTATGAATCCAGCACCTTCCCAGAAAACTGGAAATTTGGTCATGTCCAACCCATCCCAAAAAAGGGATCTAAGTCCGATCCTTACAACTACAGGCCTATAGCTCTGCTTTCTGTTATAAGCAAGGTGATGGAGAGGTGCATAAATTGCGAGCTTCTGGACTACCTCGAACGTCTCAGCTTGATTAGCGGCAGGCAGTATGGTTTCCGATACCAACGATCCACAGGGGACCTCCTAGCTTACGTCACGCAATTGTGGATTAAACTCATCCAGTCTGATGGTGGATCAGCCGTGGCACGTTGCCCTGTTAAGCAAACTTCCATCCTATGGCCTCCCAGAAAAGCATTGCAGATGGGTGGCTGACTTTATCTCTGGCCACAAGATATCCGTCGTAATTGACGGGTTCTCCTCTTTATCCCACAACGTCAAGGCGGGTGTTCCCCAGGGATTGGTCTTGGCTCAAACACTGTTTCTCTTACATATCAACGACCTCCTTTCCTGCACGTTCAACCCAATCCACAGCTTGGCTGATGATAGCACTCTACATGCAGCGACGACTTCCTCTCTGACCTGAAGGCGATCACTGCTTGGGGACGCAATAATCTTGTACTGTTCAATGCCTCCAAAACACAGTACTGTATTTTGACGAACAAAAAGCATACTAGCGCTCATCCAGTTTCGACGGACGGCCGAGTTCTGCCAAAGAGCTATTCGTTTCGGCCGGTCGTAGTCCAGATTACCGAGGACCTGATCTGGCACGAACACATCTCGTCAATAGCTGCAGCTGCTGGGAAAAAGCTAGTCTATTTGTTTAGGGCTAAGAAGTACTTTAATCCGCATGACCTTCTCACTAAATACAAAGCCCAGATAAGGCCTAGCCTCGAGAATTGCTCACATGTTTGGGGTGCTGTCGCCCCGACTACATTATTTATGCTCGATGCTGTCCAAACGAGGGCGGATCTAGCTCTTTTCTATCGCTACACCAACGGGATTTGCTCCTCAGAGCACTCTTCCATGATGCCGCCGCGCAATGTGCCTGCAAGACAGACCCGCCTGACTTTGGCGTCCCATCCTAACCGTGGCGAACTTCGTACATCCAGAACTG